CCCCAAAACCCCAAAACCCCAAAACCCCGAGAAGCGAAATAATAAATCGTTTCTAGGGCGATAAAATTAGAAATTAAGAATAATGAGTTTTAATTAAAATGGATCGTGGGTTTAAAATAATTAAACTGAGAATTCTTATTCAGTATAACCTCCTTTTAATAATACGAAGATCCTTGCTTCAGATTTATGTCAAATCAAGTGACTCCCTAAGGGCATCATTAAATAAGAATGTAGACTAATTAGTCCAATAATCGAGCACACAGTATGCGCAAACCAGATCGTAAATTTACTTATAGTCGATAACTTAATAGTGAATTAGCAAATGAACTATCATCAGCAGTAAATCAATCTCCAATAAATGCCGATGTAAAGTCCTAAAATGATAAATAGAAGAGGCGAAAGCTAACAATAGCAACAAAAAACCTTTAAGGTAAATTGATGTTTGTTTAATGAATAATCAAAGACTAATCAAGTGATGTATGCGCATGGATAGTAGAACCACTCTAACAATCATCCTTAGACTCATCTTGTTTAAACATAACCCACAGGTGGACAATCTCTAATTACACAAGTTAACAAAAATCAACAGCCAGCCCAGGACCTTTCTAATGAATAAAAAGCAGCATTATAGGGTTATCAGAAATTCGGTAAAGAACCTTTACCCCCACATCTTGCTGCTTGCGGTGCATAGAAAGCTTGGGCAATAGGCAAAAAGACATTAGTGTTAGATTTGGATGAGACGCTTGTGCATTCAAGTTTCAAAGCACCTTAAAAGCCAGATATTATTTTGCCTGTTGAGATTGAAGGGAATATCTGTAATGTTTTCGTGCTTATTAGACCTGGGACAGAGTTTTTCCTTCAAAGATTATCTAAAGTGTATGAAATAGTGATTTACACAGCTAGTTTGAGTAAATATGCGGATCCTTTGATAGATATCTTAGACAGCAAACCCCAAAAAATTATAGATTACAGGTTATTCAGAGAGCATTGCACTTTTTTCTAAGGTGTTTTCATCAAAGATATGTCGCTACCTGGAAGGCCTCTGACTGATTCAATCATTATTGACAACAGCCCAACAAGTTATGCTTTTCACTAGGAAAATGCAATTCCAATATTATCGTGGTATGATGATCCAAAGGATAGATGTTTATTTGAGCTTATTCCGTTATTGGAATCGCTTGCTGAGGTTGATGATGTGAGAAAATATATCCCTAAGTTTGTAACTACTGATCATAAAGTTGATTTTCAAAGAGCTAGCTATGTGCTTTCTAATGCCACGCCCAAGGATATGAATAAAAATAGAGAAGTCAAATTGGGCCAGTAAGAAATTTCAGACTTCGAGAACGCATAAGAAGACGAATCAGTTGTTGAGGAAATCCGATCTAACAACAGAAAATTACAGAGCAGATCAAAAGTGCCAAAGACACCTATCAAGCAATCAAACCACAACCTTATGCTTGACTCATCAGGAAAAAAATAACTTTAGAATTCTAACACCAATCCACACATTGACTAAGAAGAAATGGGTAATGTAGGTTAATTAGTGCGAGAGGATAGCGGTAGTGTGATCAATAATGACGATGAAAGAGATGTCAGTCAGAACAGAAAAGAAAGTGGAAAACTGCCAGCACCCTAGGTGCTTACCAATCAGTGGACATCAGAGGAAAACGAAAGAAAGAACAATACTGCTAGCACTAGCAATCCAAACACGAGTCAGACTCAGAACCGTACTCGAAAGCATAGAAGAGACTCTTCAACTCCAGTGATTAAGTCATCCACAACTAATGAAAATAATCAATTGACTGAAGGAACTGATGTTCCTAATTAGTCATTCAAGGAGCTTCAACCTAATCAGCAGCAGCAGTCGTTTCATTAGTATAATAACTCTTAATCTTAAAGACCAATTACTAGAGACAATAAAAGGTTAGCATCGATGAATGAAGAGGGCACTGCAGGCAATAACCTCAACTCTCAGAATATTAAAAATGTGCTCAATCAATCTTACAGCTCTAAATCTAGAAAAATCAATAATTAGTATTTCTCAAGATAGTCTTAGCTTCACTAACTGCTCTAAACTGATTAGCAGCAGTTCAAAAAATCTTACAATTAGCCCCCTATGTATAATTCAGCAATGACGGATGCTTCACTGAAGATCGTAAATCCATCAAAAACTCCTAATCAAAAGCAGGGTTCTTCATAACTTTAAAGGGAAAATCTTAGTCTGTCTATATAAAGATAGCAAGCTAATTAGATAATTAATGTTTAGGGCATGTTTAGTACACCAAAGGCTAATGTTTAACAGAACAATTCAATGTTTAGACTTGCACCGGCTAATGGCGCTACTACCAATAATACTTCAAATAACAATAGTGAAGTGACTACTTTTCGAGGTCAAAGAGATGTGAGCAACAAAAGCTTAAATAGGTTTAACCTATAGATATAGTTTTAAGATCAGAAGTCATTCATGAATAAACAAAGAAGACTAAAACGAAACAATGAAATACTTAACAATACGCAGCCAATGTTGCAAATCAGCTAAAGTGACATTGAAATCAATGAAATTTCTCCAAAACATATGAAAACACCCTCTAGAGTACAGTAAAACAGGCAAGGAGGAGGTTCATTGATTAATAAAAGGAGACAAAATTCCTAATAAAAGTAAATAGTTAGTGGTAATACAAATAACAGCTTCTAAAGACTAGCTGTTGCTGGTAATATAAACCTGAATGACAGCAACTTCATACATAATAGCAATATAATAATCAATAATATTTCAACTCCACTAGCTGCTACAACTAATTCATTCAATAGACCATCCTCAGCAAAAAGAGGCAATCAAGGACTGGCTAATTACACACCTAAAGGTGCCCAGTAACAACAGCTACTGTCCTCAGCTAATATAGTGAAGTATGGCAACATCACAAGCATCAATGACCTGACTTAATTAAGTCCTTACTCGCCCATGAACAAGAACTATGGAGCCATGATTAGTGGAGTTAGTGGTGGGCAGATGTTTGTGGGGTAAGACTTCGGGCAGAAGAGATTTTTGAGAAACATCAATAGAAAAAGTGGAGCATTCACTTCTAACAGATCGAAAGGTAATGAGCTGTGAAAGCATCATCACTACCTGTAAATTATTGAATCAGATTTATATATAAATGTATAAGGAATAAAATTAATAATTTTATATGTAACATCATCATCATTATCATCATATAATCATTATACTCTTCCTCTCATTATAAGTTAAATTAGTGAGTGCTTTGCTTCTACTAAAATGAGCTGTCCAGGGGATCTTATAACTGATAGTTATTTTGTAAACTTACTCTCATGTTTCCATAATCAGTGAGAGTCTAGTTATTGTTATTAGTAGTACTATTAATGCCATTATTGTTATTGTTTCCATTACTCAAGTTTATATTTTAGGTTATGCTCATTGATCCTTAGATCTGAGGCAGTTGAGTAAATTTGCTATCACCATCTCCCTCTGCAATTTGCACATAAGGGTTGTAACTACCAAGGGCACTGTTGCTGTTTCCAAACTGCTACGATGCCAATTGATTATTTCTTAATGTAAGCTGTTTCTCCCTAGACTGCTGCATATATGTCTGGTTGAAAGATATTTGGCTGGTCGATGCATTATGATTATTGCCTGTGGATGCTCTATGTGGGAACAGTGCTTCATAGATTTTAAGTAGAGTCTTCTCATTGTTGACAAATAAATCTAGTAGGTTACACTTATCCCTGATGGTGAAGTCAGTGATCTTGATTCTATTTTTAGCAAGTTAAGCTAGCCTCAGCAAGCTCTCCTCAAACTCTTTGGCTTCCTCGGAATTCTTTTCAATTTATTAGAACTTCTTCTTATTATAGATTTCGTTCTTTAGCCTTCGCTTCATAATATCTTTTCTCACTTCCTCAATACAGTCTACGAATAAACTCTCTAAGTCATTCTTTTCGGCATTGTTATTAACCTTATCTGACTGGTACCTCCTTAGTTTATTTTTTTCTCTTTCTATTTACATTCTCATTTCTTTTATTGTATCGTTATAGTTTGTTTCTAATGCCTGGACATATTTCGCAATTTCGTCTTTAATGTCATCCTTGGTCATCTTTGATTTGAAAAGAAGATCAAGGAATTTGGAAAATTTGATGTTTTCAGTTTGAATATGTCTATACTTGCTTATAGGACTTCTAGTCATTACTCTCTTAACTTGTTAATTTGAAGCAAGTCTAGGATCTCCACTAAGTTTAGACACTCCTGCTTCAAGAATACTTGTAGGAGCTGTCGTTCCATCAACGAACTAACTTTTCTCATGATGTGTAACTCTCTTGTGAACTCTTGCACTCTCCCCCATCAAATCTTTAAGCATTTCTGGTGCTTGGTTTTAGTTCTCTGTCAAAAATACTTTAACCCCTCCTTCACCTTGCAAAATCGAGAGTTCATTCTAGTCAGTATAGTCTTTTTTCTCAAGCTCATTTTATAACCTGCCAATTGCTAACTTAAGTAGTTTATTTTATCTTTTGGCATCCATAATTTGATTCTGCAAGAAGTCTTTTTCTTATTCATAGCCGAGAGCTTTTGTCTTCCAATATTTGACCTTCTCGTTGAGTGCCTCTTTTTCTTTTTCCTATTTAATCTAATCTTCCCTTATAGCATGGATTGTCTTTTCCAAATTGTTGATTTTTTCATCCTTAAGAGTGTTATTTGAGTTCTTCTCATTGAGTTTGTCTATCAATTCTCTAAGTTCTTTCTCTTTGCGCTTCACATAAATATTGTAACCTTTCAGGTAATCATACTCTTACTTTAGCAATACACGGTTTAATTTCTTATCCAAGTCAGTTATGATATCCTCCAATTAGAATTTGGTCTTTTCTACTTCATTCCAATGCTCTCCTTTTTCATTTAATGACGATTGTATATTATTGTGCTGACTTTGGTTTAACTGATTTGACATTTATTAATGAAAAAATTACAATTTATTATTTTTATTTAAAATAAAAAATAATTTTATGACGGGGTTTTGGGGTTTTGGGGTTTTGGGG